TTCGCCCCCTGTCCATCACATCTGCCTCCCTTCATCCTCCTCCTCCTCCTCCTCATCATCATCATCCTCCTTTGTCTAGCGTAGACCGTTTCGTCCGGGGAATGCCGCGATGTTCCAGATGTCGAAGCGCGCCACTCTTCGGCAGCATGCCGGTCCAAGGGCCATGTTGAGCAGAGATTGTAGGCATTTGGGCCTCCATTCGGATGTTGCTAGAAGTGCCTCTGCTCCCAGGTACCCCCTGATTTCCAAGGAGGCCCCTGACGTCCTCCAGAGCATCCCTCACGTGGCCCAAGGGGCCCGGAGGGGGCTCCAGAAGGAAACGAAAAGCTGGGGGCGCCCTGGGCCAGGTGCACCTATAGCAACCCCCGATCTATGGGTGTTCGTCTCAAGCAGTGGCGAAGCGTCCTGGCTTGCCTACAGGCCCACCAAAGAATGCTCTAAGAACCTTTTGTGGTTTGCACGACATGTTCTTAGAACATTTCTGGCTGAGACTGGCTTGTTTTCACATGTCGGATCTGTGCTTCAACATTTGTCGGCTCTTAGAACATCTCGTGCTAGGCCTACAGGGATGCCAGGATGGTCGGTTCCTGCTCAATCGTGGTTGTCCTCTGCCTGTGCTCATCTTGAGGCCTCCTCCTCGGCATCGGCCTCGTCTGCGGCGGCGGCGCACGGCAGGGCGCACGGGAGGGGGTTGGGTCACCGGGCCCTCCGCGCCGATGTGGCCACGCGCAGGGCCTCAGGGGCCCTCCGCGCGGGGCGGGCACCGCACCGCGTGGCGAGTCGGTGGGGACGCGGGGTCCCCGCACGGTCTCAGGACTAGGTTCTCGGCGGGGGCGGGGGCGGGAGGGCGCGGGCGGGGGTGGGGGCGGGAGTACGGAGACGGAAGCAGCAGCAGCGCACTCCTCCCCGCGCGCGCGTGCGCGTGGCGGCTGCGAGTGCGCCTCGAACGGGCGCCTGCGTCCGTGCGCGCCCGGCGGGTGTGGTCCCAATCCGCTCGAAGAGGCAATCGCGCTGGCGGAGCCTGACGCGACCTTTACGACCCTGGACCTGCTGATCGAGCGGCGTGGAGAATGTTCGAAGATGTCTCAGACGACCGGGGCCTCCAGGGTCCCAAAACCGCAGAGTGACGGACTGTGCGGTGAGGCCCCTCGGGATTTTGAGGTCACCGCACGGTCTGTCACAGCACGTTTTTGGGACCCCCAACAGGTGGCCTCCCTTAGGCGGTGAAGTCCGAACCCTACCCCTCGCCGATCAGCGATTCAGGCAACTCGATGGGCGGCGGGCGTAGTGTTCAGAATTAGTCGAACGTGTAGCGAGATCTGAGCCCTACACCCGCCCCCATCGATTCAGGAAGCTCGATGGTTGGTGGGGGTAGGGTTCGGATGTCGTCACTTATCCCCTCTCCTGCCTCCCACCCCCCTCCTCGTCCGTGCCCCTCCCCCTCCCCTCGCTCGCTCGCAGCTCAGGGCTGCTAAGATTGCAGCCTCTCCAACGAGCTGGATAATCTGGCGCACAGGGGAGAACGAGAGAGTGGATCCAGAGTGATCGCGCCCCACCCCACGGATGGCCCTCGAGGCCACCGTGGCTGGCCCTCGTCCTGGTCTCCCCCGCCCTTCTCCTCCTCCCTCCTCTCTCGCCCTCCCTCCCCAAAAATTTTTATCTAAAATTCCCGGTTACATCACACGAATGGGGAAACCACTGATGCTGCTTCAGCCACAAGTTGGGGGGTATCCTCCTCGCTGCCTGCGCCTCGTGGCCGCCCCCCGGCCCGCCCCACTCTCCCGCGCCTGCGGCGCCCCGCATTCCGTTAATTGGGGCGTGTCCCTCGACAGGGGGGATGTCCAAACATAGTGGCAAAAACAGTCTGGGGACGATGTTTGATTTTTTCCCACCACTTTGGTGCATTTGTTGTGTCTAAAATTTTGTCTTCCAGATCTGCCTGTATAGGGGGCATGCCCGACCTGATGCTTCCGTGACCCGCAGCGCCCGAGGGCCAGCGCCGCGGGGCGCGGGATCGTCGTGGAGCCGCCGCCGCTGCGTTCGCGCAGGTCGAGATATCGACAAAGGATGTGCTCCATGGAGGTTCTGGTCGTGTGCGCCTGGTGCAGATTCCCCTCCCTCCCTCTCCCCCATCCCCTCCCCCCGCGCCTCTCCCCCCCTCTCCCCCCCTCTCCCTCCCCTCTCCCTCATCCCCTCTCCCCCCCTCTCCCTCCCTCCCTCCCCTTCCTCGCGAAGCCTGGGGGGATGGGGGCCGACGCGGGCGAGGCCTGCCCGAGGCGAGCGTCCGCTACGGCTTTTTGGGGCCGGTCGTGCTGCCGTCCCTGGCCTCGTGGCAGGCCGGGGTCGAGCCGACCAGCAGGAGCCAGTGCACAGGCCGCGCACAGTCACTGGGTGTGCGCCTCCGCGCGTGATGCTTCGGCGCAGTGGCCTGCGGCGCGCGCCTGCCAGGTGGCCGAAGTGGAAGCAGGACCGGCGGAAGAAGGAGCTGGGCCTCTTCTGA